CGAAATTGTCTTGCGTCGGCGCCGAACAATCGCGCTGTAATGCGAAATCCAATTTTCCAAGTTAGATCACGATAAACCGCAATATCGTCGCTGAGGAAAACAGCTCCCTTACGGATCTTCTTTCGAATTGAATTAAAATCCCGCCGTCCCTTAGACCCGACCCGTAATATATAACGACGCGAGATGAGAGAGATTTGACCGGTAATGTTTTATTTACTTCTCGTTTCCTTATTATTCGCTTACTTTATTATTTTACCTGGCATTTATAATTATTACGTCTCCTATTTGCCGCGCATTTTTCTCCCGCTCTTTTTCCTCGGTAACTCGCCACTTTTCCCCCCTCTCGTCTTGTTTTGTTCGCTTTCGACGCGCGTTCGTTTCCGTCGCTGCCATCCGTTCAATATCTCAGACCAGCTTCTAATACGAGCGCGCGTTGTTCGGCATATACTTCCAAATTGCGTTCAGCGGCTAATAGGAATTTTGATTGACTGAATTAAATAGTTATCGAGGATCCGCGGTGTTCCTTTCCTTTTTTTTCTCCCTCCCTTCTCTTTGGCATCGATTAACTTTATTAGGACCCCGCTCGTTTGTGGGACGTTAAAGGTGGGAAAAAGAGGACAAAGAGGAAGAGGGTGGACGATTCCTCGCGCGCCGTGCGAGCGGATTGCCGGTGAGGCGACAGGGGGAGGGCGGGGGCGAGAGGAGGATGGGGTGAAAGGAAGTTCACCGAGGCAATTTGTTGTTAAGTCGGAACTCATTTTCTAGAACCCACACCCGGCTAATGCCGCGACTGGGCCTGCAGGCCACCTCATTACCAGACCTAGTCAATTTCAATTTAATTTGCCAGTCGGCTGTTTCGCGGAAGGCAGTATGTGTGCACGTATGTGTGGGTATACATGTGTATAGGAGAGAGGAAGAAGGAGAGGGGAGAAACGGAAAGAGTGGCGACCGCATAGCTTTTTAATTAAACTGGAAACCGAGGCCGCGATTAATCATTATTATCTAGAAAAATTAAAGCTAGCCGTGAGAATGTGTTTCGCGTGTCGTACGCGTACGCGTAAGCCTTTTGTCTACGCGAATGCGTGTCGTGGGTGGCGAATTTTCTCTCTCTATGCTGTTTATACGCTATCGTGAATTGCGCGTGATACTAAAAAAAAATTGGATTGGTGTTTATTATATCGCGATGTTCCGAGAACAAGTTTATTACTTGTGATTCTGCGAAGAAAATAACGAGTTTTGTTAACACTCTGATAAATACTCGCTATTTCTCCTTTTATTCGGCGGGGGATCCGAAACGGTGCAGAACGAATCTCCTAATTGAATCCGATAATTGCAAAAATGTTACGCGGTGTTTTCGCTTACGGGGACAGCTTCTATCCTTCTGTCATCAATAATTATCATCAAAGAGGCGTACTGGGATACGGCCATATTCAAGATACGCGGAATCAAAACGAAGACTCGGCGCACAAAGGCTCAGCCGTGTTGCTCCGAAATTTGGATTTTTAATCGCACAAAGCGCTAATGAATCCATTTAGCCTCGCGAGAGGACTCGACCCGCTCGACCCTCGCTCGATACAAGGATCTTGGATAAATGGACAAACGAACCAAATAATTACGCTAATTAAAGCCGCCCAATTTGTGCTTTAGACAATTAAAGTGCCGAGGGTAAGGTAGTCTAACTCATTAACAGGCGGGAGTCGTTCACACAGTCGCGCATCTCCCGTGTGTGAATACGTCGTTTCGACATACGTGCGCCCGCGCTCCCGTCCTTGTGTTTCTCTCTTATTCTCTCTTGTTAGCGATAGAACGCGCCGCTGTGTGCGGCAAAGGGGCACGCATAATGAGCGAGGGTGCGAGGGTGAGAGAGGGCGATCCGAGGGTGGAGGGCGCACTTGCTCGTGAATCTTTCGAAATCGCGCAGCGCGCCGTTTATTGCAATATAATCGAGAATCGTACGAAAAATCACACACACGTGCTGCATACACACGCACGCGCACGCGCACACACACATATATATTATTAAACTCGCAACTTTTATCGCGTATTTATTTCACAGATTCAAATCCGTCGTGCGATCTAATTGCCGAGAGATCTCGCCCGGTTCGTCAAATTATTGTATATTTCGTTGCGAAACATACGTGTGACATGCGCCTTTACAGACGCTTGTTAGGGCATGGCAAGATTGACACGTCGGTCGCAATTAAAACGTAAGGGGGCACGTGGCAAATTGCGTATCAAGTTAGAGGAGTCGGGCAAGGAGGGCGAGGTATTATCATTGATGAAATCAACTAATTAGAAATTGCGTAGACCGCTCGTTAAAGATCGCCCCGCCGACCGTAATCGCCAATTACTCTCTTAGTGCGCGGACTGAACTTCGCTCATTAAAATTATTAAACGCCGCCGGCTCGTATTTGACGTGTTTCTATGCGACCTCCGCGGATTGTAGCTCGCCGAATTTTTACAGTCCATCGGGTCCGTAGAAAATCACAAAATTGCGAATATATCTTTAACCGCGATTTTTTAGCGCGAGTCTGTAATCGATTTTTTTTTTCTCACAATGTACATAATAAACACGAATTGTGCTGTACACACGGAGAATACAGATGGATGCAGGAAGTAATCAACTGTGCTCGTAATTAAAATACAATTCAACTGATAAAATGCATACGTGCGAGATAAATCTTGACGCGAGCACTGTTTTATCGAAGATATATCGAAATTATTATTAGTCAGCCGGACGACTCGATAATATCGCGTCATAATAGACGGTCTTCGTTGTCATTTATCATTTGCCGACGAGCCGTTACTTTCGATCAATTATTCCACCAGTACATGCACCATATTTAGCCTATTAGTACGAAACATTCGATGCCTAATTTAATATAGCCGATCTCTTTGATATCACAAAGATCTATGCAGATGTTGGAGCGATAAAAATTGTAGGCATTTCAACCGCATTCGCTCAATCGTTTATTCAGTTAATCAACCATCGCATATTCTTATAATGTATATACGTATGTATTCTTGTCTCGTATACCTTAAATTATTAATGACTCCATATATGGAATGCTTCTTTTAAATATTAATTATTAAGTAAGGTAACGAATAATTTGTATCCAATATTTTTTATAATTATCATAAATAAAACTCGCGGATAATCGAAAATTCTTGCTTGTCATCAACTTTCCAGGATGGTCACGTAAAACACGCGTGAATAATGATACTGGTAATGACGTCGGGCGATTAAGAGGCCAGAAAGAGAGAGAGAGAGAGAGAGAGAGAAAGGGAGGAGGAGGAGAAGCAGATTTTATGGCTGATCCTCGATCATCAACTGTATAATTCCTTCTATCCGTTCTAGCTGATTGACTTGGCCGTCGGTCTCTAATTAGCAATTATGGAGAAATCGAAAACGCAGAGCGATTCGGCCGAGCGGCACGCATCTCTGCTCATTAACCTCGCGGAGGATGCGGCCCGGAAGTAGGTACTCGGTTAGGTTGATAAAGACGCGGACGCAATTAAAACTTACCGCGTCGATTTATTTACGAGACGCGTGCAAAACTCTCCGTTTAGAAAACGTTGCCTTTGATTAGGATCTCGCCGTGTGCGCGATGAACAGCCGGCGTATATCTTCAGCATCTTCCTACGTAACACAAGACTAATCAGCTAACTCAACTGGTTCGCAGGAAATTGAATTAATAATGCGATAGAATTCCCGATAACGTCGTAGAGTTTCTAAATGATCGTTTTTACCTACCTATTTATTTACAGCTACATACGCGAGATGCCTTACAGCTGTATATGTGATTATCATATTTAATAATACGTGATACATCGTACACGACAAACCTCACTTTTACAAATCGTGTCAGGTTGCAATCATACGCGAACGAGGAAATAACGTCGCGCTCGACGAGAATCTCATAATTTTTCAAAATTAGTCAATCATCATTTCCTTCGAGGATTATCCGGCATCAATTTGTTTGTACCCCCCATTTTTCAGCGATAGGAGCACGCATTTAAAATTGAACCATTGCGAGTGATCGAAGACAGATCGCAAAAAAAAAAAAACAGAAAGAGAAAGAGAGAGAATAAAAAGAAAAGAATTGAAACGTCATTCGGCGAGTAATCATCGAGATACTGGGCCGCGCTAGCGCGATCAGCTGTATCTCCGACAGATAAATTAGCAATTTAATTATAGAACTGTCAGCCGGTAATTAAATTAATAACGAGAAACCTCAAATCTCTCTCTCTCTCTCCCTCTCTCTCTTCCCCTCCCCCTCCCTCTCTCTCTCTCTCCAATCCACTCCGTCGTCGTAACAACCTTATGCGCGCTCTCGAGTAAAGTCGGACGCAAATATCGATATGCCAACTCCCTATTGCGTGTTTCAAAAGCCGATTTAATTAAATATTTCATTAAATTTAAATGGAATTTGATTTTAACTGCAACCCGTCTCCATACGACGCCGGAAAACATCGCAAATTGATCGTTAGATCGCGGGAGGTCTCTTTCTAACTTCGGGAGAGGATCAGGATTCGCGACGAGATGATGACGTGCGTATATTGGTACGTCTCTTTCGCGGAAGAAGTCCTTCTTACGACGTTAGCCATTGAGGAGATGTGAAATCGTGGCACTCGCATCTCGAATCCCCATTCGACGTATCTACGTAGACGTATCTTACATAGCTAATTGCTGCATAAACAGCCAGTTTTACGAGCCAACGGGTACACGGCTGACAACCGCTTGGCAAACATTACCTGCCATTAACGCGCGCGTTACATCGCATCGCGTCGCGTCACGCCAGAGCTCCAAATGCCACGAAATTATTAAAAATAATCTGAGACTCACGTCGGAATATCTGGCATGGATGTTCTTTGTCAGATTCCGCCGACGTTTCGAGTAACTCAAACGATTCTTCCTAAGCCGAAATTTCTAAACAATCCCCAATCACATTGAATACTGAATCTAATCACATGTCTATCACATGCTTGCCTTGTTGCAGGATGTTCGGTAGCGGTGGCGTCTGCGCGAGTTGCGGTAACGCAATACCAGCGAACGAACTGGTCATGAGGGCCGGCGAATCGGTATTTCATCTCAAATGTTTCAACTGCAATAAATGCGGCGGCCAGCTCGTCTCTGGCGACAGGTAAAATTCGAGGGAGATATCTTCCTTATTATCGTTATGTCTTACTTATTCTATCGCAGCAAAGACAGCGCTCTTACGTGACACGCGACTCTTTCGCTTTTTCAGATACTACTTGCTATCGGGCTCGCCAGTCTGCGAATCCGACTGGCACAAGATTGTCAAGTCGGGTGTCACGGCAGCGGCAGCCGCGGCGGCTGGCAACAGCGGCGCACCTGTTAGGAAAGGTAAGGTCGGCAGGCCTCGAAGGAGCCGCGAATGAGGTGGCAACCCGGTCGGTCGCCCGAAAAAGGTGCAGCCTTCTCCGCAGCCGACGCCCCCCGTCGTCGTACCTTCGCCTCAGGTCGATGTCGTGGACGTCGCCGTCGGAGTGGATCCCTATTCGCCGCCTCCGCCGGGTCATCAGCATTACCACCATTATCATCATCACCACCACCATCATCAGATGGCACTTGCGCATCCGAGTCTGGCGGCCCAGCAATCGCACCTGCAGGCGTCCGGCTATCAGGATTGGTCGCCCTGGACCCAGGATACCTGCGATTAAAGCTGCTGCATCGCAGCAGAATCGAATCCCAAAGGACATCGCGATGAAGAAGAAGCCTACCCTATGCGTTGCGAGTCCGGGCTTTCCAGGGGAATCGCAAGAATAGAGCCCACGTAGCCGTCCCTTGGGACCGCCGTCGGTGACTCTATCGGTCGAGTGTCTCCGATATACTTGGCGCCGTGATTTTGAACGCGTTTGAACATGCCGCGGCAGCCAAATGTCTCCGAACATGGTTTCGTGGTGTTAAATATACAATAATTGAACTTGCCGCGGATATACCGAGCGATCTCTGCGCTCTGACGATGTTGACATGGCGAGTGTGTATGAACTTGTTACGGATGCCGATCATTTCTGGCTCAATATCACATCTTTAAATTTTAAGCATTCGAAATTGCAAGATATCTCTATAAACTTGACACGAACGCCGTTTTCATTTTACGGTACATGTTTTTTAATTCAATATTGATAAACTGATAAAATTGCTTAAAGCGTTAATCCTCGCGAAATATTGCAGCATCTAAAAATTAAATAATGCTCAAGTTAAATTAGCAATTTAAAACATCACTTTTTGAGAAATAAAAATATACTCTCTATGCATCTGCGACAAGTTGAGACACCCGATATCGCAGAAACACCACCGTCACGAATCCGCCGGTTTTCTTAATAATAATCTTTGCTCAATTGTAAAGAATCGAAGAAAGTCTAAAGTATGCACGACTCATCGTGCATGTACCATCAGTCGCAGTATAATGACGTCAATTTTCTTCTTTAAAACCCTTCACAGTCATCGTATTGCGATAATCTCGACAAATGATGTGGAATGTAGAATTCGTTGAATGGGCGCACTCTTTCACGTGTTTGTGAAATATATCGAAATAGCTCTTTCTATGGATATCATTCTCAAAATCGCCAGATTATTCCGATATCAAGAGTCTGCTTCATTTTTTTATTTCTGAATGATTAAGAGATTATTTTCAACTTACCATTTTATATCTGATATGTCAGTTATTCTTGAATTTTTGCAACAGGGCATTTAATTTTTTGTTGTCGCTACTTTAAAGGCAATACACATCCCTAGAATGGCATCGCGTACTAAATCCGACATGTGCGATCGACGAGAATCTAATCACGCGAGAAAGACAGATGGCAATCGGAAGAGAAAAAGAAAGAGAGAGGAAGAGAGAGAGAGAAAGAGAGAGATAATTCAACGGAAATCGAACAAGAGAAACGACGATGGCGCACAAGTTCTGTGTGAACCCTTAGAAAATTATTTTTCTTTCAAAATCATCATTCCCGTCGATCCGTCGCTACGCTTCGTAAACTCATTAGGCGTCCCTTGTTCCCACCATCGTTAATTGAGTGTCGAGGTGAAACGAACGACACGGAATTATCATTCGAATCCTTCTTGTTAGGCATCAGCGTCACTTTGCCTGTCTCTTTCTCGCTCTTATTCTCTCTCCTTCTTTCTATCTATTTCTCTTCTTTCTCTCTCCGTTTCGCCCGTGCTTCTACTCTCTCTTTCTTTCTCGAGAATTCATTTTCAAAGTCATTTTCAAAGTAACATAATCAACTGAGTCTATTGTAAAAGACGAAATTCGTTCTTCGCTGCAGAGTGTCGATTTCTGACACATCCGGATCAAATGTATTGTAAGTGTAATCGTAAGTACATTACGATATGTTACATGTAGGGTGGAAAATAATCGATGTCGTTCTCGAGGAAAGAACAAAGCTCAATTGTCACGAAAAATATTTCTCGCGTTGTTTAGCGAAATCTACGTTGATGCATTGATTGTTAAAGTTGGATACGCAAATACAATATAAACGAACAGAAACGCATTTGCTGATCGTAACATTATAATTTCGAAAGAAGAAATTCCTTCGAGTTTAATTAAAAATTTTTTTTCTATCACAGTTCTTAAATCCTTGGCATTTATTTGCGAATTTTTTTAAAGAGCAATCATGTGTCACTGGCACAGACGGATGTAATGTTTGCAACAATTATGTACGTTGTTATACATTAGTGCAATTCACGGCAAGCAAAAAATGACATCGACCTAACGCATCGAAGTACGAAGGATTCACCAGCGGAATTTCAACGCAAAATGTATCACAAAAGCGCAAAGTTGTTCTATTACTCGTTTCATTCGTCAAATACTCTCGTTTTAATTAATGACCTCGCACGCGTCGCGAAGAATGCCAATTAAGAATCCTTTACATCCTTGGAGAAAGTTTACCGAGACTTGTTGCGGGTTAATGTACCGCGTAAATTAAGCCGCAAAATCGTGCGCCGATAAATTTTTCCGAATGAAAACGGCGTGCGCTTGAGAATCATGTGACATTATGGATTCAGACTCTTCAATGAAGCGCTCGGATTGCGGTAAGAACAATCACTAGTCGACGCCGCCAAGGATCAAAATCTGATTTCTGTCTAACATGACTCTGTGGGCAGCGACGCTGACGGAGAAAGTGAGAGAGAAAAGTGGTGTATACAGAGGTGTACAATGTAGGTTGAATGAGGAGTCGCGCTGGATGGATTTTATATCAAGGATGCACAAACTTTTTCGGCATCGACTCGAATAAATCAACATAACATTTGCGACAAATTTTTAACCGTGGATGTGCACGAATAGATAAATAAGAAAAAAATAAATAATATTTGCGATATCTTTATTTTTAAAGCTCTCTCTATCTCCCTCCTCTCTCTTTCTCTTTCTCTCAAATGATTTATATAAGTTCTATTATTGATTAGAGAATATATTTTTATCCTCCCAGGTCAGACTGAGTTTAATTGTCATTTATTCTCGCTTCTTTCATCTTGAATCGAGCGTCTCGGCTCGAGCCGACAACACTAGATTCGATCCGAAGTTTGTGCATCATTGGATTGTGTAATTTAATCTTGTATATATAAGGTACATTTTGTATATTGTTAAAAGTTTGTGTGATATAAATGGTTATGTATTTACTATCGAGCGCGAACGGCGAATGGGGCTTCCGCGCGATTATTCTACGGACGATTAGCCGACGTGCGCGACGTGCCATGTGGTTTTTCGTGGTCCTGCATCGCCAAGTGCGTCGCATGCAGTGGCGCCTTCCATCTGCCTTCTGTCGACGAAGATAGAAACGCAAAAGATAATTTGAAATCATCATCGGCTCTCCTTCCGATCAATTTTTCAATGCCAAGTAATCGCTTCGTCAAATTATTTGCCCCGAATGTAACGCGAATATATAAAAATTTTACATCTCATATTTTCATTCGTCCAACATTTCATTGACACGTAATCTCTCATCTCGGGCTGATGTAATCTCTCGTTTCAAATTGATGTACAATATAATATTTTACATTCGCGATCGCAAATTTTCACGAGACTCACTCGCCATCATATAATTCTCGAATCATTCGTAATTTCGAAATATTGTTGCGCAAAAGCCCGACCCGAGTCGATTTGCAAAAAAACGATTTTTGCTCTTTCGATTCACGCAAACGAGAGAAGCAAGGTCCGATTGTCGGAGACGAAGGACGAATTAAGAAACGTCCGGCACCGTTTGATCTCCGATAAATCGAATCGCAATGTTGTAAAATCTGCCCTGCGTATCGCACTTGGCATTCGGCGGGCCCACGGAAATGGAGCGAGCACCGGATGTCCCTCTGGCCGAGAATGGCACGCGCGCGGACCGCGGAGCCGGTCCCATGCGCGCGTCTAGTTAATTTTGTTATTTCATTTATCTCGGACTCTTCGTACTCGGGACCCGACATCTGTATGTGGTTTCGCGGCCTCTTGTAAAATACAATTACACATGGAACACACCATACACGTTTATTAATTAATAAAAAAATCACAAGTTTTTAGAAAACGAGTCCTCGTGCCCGTACGATCGGCATCATTGATTTCTCCCTCTCCCCCGCCAACATCCCGAATTTCTTTCAAGTTATATCCGAACGTATCAGAATATAATGATTCATTAAGGATTGTTAAAAATGTAGACTCGTACGTATCGCATACAATGATTAAGTTCTAATGATGATTACATGGTAAGTAGGGAGGGAGCGAAATCGATTATTTCAGCACTGTCGAAAAAATCGATGTAAAAGCTATCTTTCGCCGCGGCCAGTGGCTGAATTAATTCGAATGATTTGAATGTTTCGTCGACGGCACGCGGCCGGTTTTCAGTCAACTTGCCGGCAAATGTGCGCGCGGCCCGACATTCTCCAGTCAGGATAGGTATTTAACGGATGTACACGTGTCCGACCATATTGCGTTTGTGTCGTTCGATAAATAGGTGGCTAAGCAACTCCAACGGAAACCCGTGTTAATTAACGTTGAGTTTCAGGACTGATTTACGTGGCGTCTAATTAGCGGGCCTGCCGGCGACGTAGTAGGCATTTTGATTGGCCACACCGCGAATAGAACGATTGGCCTTGCCGGTGTGTCGTATCGATTGTTTTCGTTTCTTCTCCTTCTCCTCTTGCTCCTCTTCCTCCTCCTCCTTTCGCGCCGTTACTCTCTTTTTGTTCGTTCTTAAAAACAAAGGCCGAATGGATGCGCCAAAGCATGCTTCCGAAACGAGAGTGCTTCTAAAACGAAATGCAACCCGATCATGAATATGAAAGTAAAATGGCATTGTGTAATAAGTATATATATATATATATATATATATATATATATATATATATATATACATTCTTGTATATTAAATGAATAGAGTACACGTATTAAATACTTATGAGTAAATAGAAAATAAAAAGTACGAAGATAACATTTTTCAGAATTTATAAAAAACCAATTTCTCTCATTATACATGTATATTTAGAGAAAGAGAGAGCGTCTGGAGCTCGTAATTTTTTCAGCGGTAAATAGAACCGTAAGACGGTTTCGTTACATGAGAGTGAAAGAAAAGGAAACTCTCCTCTCGTTAATTAAACCGCGTGCAACCATCGCGTTCTAATCCTTTATTTGCTGGCTGTCTTACGTTTACAAGCGTATCAATTAAATCCGGAATCAAACAAGCGCATTACCAATATACGCGCGCTCGTTAAACTTATAGATCTCATCATACTGACGTAATTCATTAACTTCTTTAGGCCGCTGCTTTTTTTTCTTTTTTTTTTTTTTAATAACGGCACGTCATTACCGCGCGAAATTACGAATAATTGCGAAAGTGAAATAAATAAAAACATTTTTACTGCGAGCGAAAATTCATAGATACTAATTGCGGGGAGATAATAGATACACACGCACAGATTCTCACAATGCAATCTTGAGTATGAGCGGCGATGCATTTCGAAACGTCAAGCGTGTGCAGTTTCTTAAAGTTTTGCAGCAATTAACAGTCGACGGCGAATAACAAACTGATTTAATTAATTGCATAACTGCGAGCAGAGGCGGCCCCCCCTCCCTCTTCTCTCCCCTCTTCCTTTTCTATCTCCACCCCACACTTCTAATCGAAGCGGGTACATATTGTTGCACCCGTTGCGCTCTACCCCTCATCAGCCCCACCGGCAATTAATTATAGCATTCCAGGTTAGCCCGGGAATTAATTACGTCCAGAAGTTGGACGCTGGCGAGGGATCGTTAGAAATCGTCCTTCGTTAGAGTTAGGCGGGCATAGGTCCAGGTAATTATTGATAGTCTTCCGGTCCCCTTCATGCCAAACGGACGAGCTTAGAAGGGCTATATCGGTGACATATTTCGGACTTTTCGAGCGAGAAAACGCAGAGCGTCGTTACATCTTTCGGTTGTATTGTCAAAAATTGTAAAAAAAATTCTCATCGACAGGAGAACGCTTCTGTTCAAGATAAACGCGAGGGACTGGATCGAAAATATAAGCGCAACGCGATCGGTGAAAAAAAAAAACGCGAATGGGGAGGACAAACGTCTCTGTTAATGATAACACTTGTTCATCTATTCCTTAATCCCTTCTACGTACTTGTTAACGCGACTTTATACGGCGAGGAAACAATTGTCGGGGAAACAAAAAGGATCGTTAGCGCTCGTGACACGTTTTACGGCCGTAAATACGGGTATATGTGTTTCGGGCAAAGTTCACCAAGTATTTTTTGACAGTAACGTGTAACTAAACCGACGCAGAGAGAATTTCTAAATGTGCCATGCCGATAATTGGAGACCGAAGCCCGAGTAATTTCATTGTTAACTTCTCTCTTCATCTTTTTAAAGCCCCTATTTCGAATTAATTAATAATCAATTGTTTCGGGCAATTCGAGGTCGATGAAGAATGGACGATTAGAATGCATGGGTGCTCTATCGATTAACGTGTTGATGAAATCGATTATCATAATTGCCTCATCGCGTTATGCGACAGTAAGACTCGTACATTGCCAATTTCTTTACAACGCGCCTGACAGATGCGGCGGGACGGAAAGATAAAAAAAAGAAACGGGGAGAGATATATCCGGAGAGAGACGGACGAGGGGTTGCGCGAGGGGATCGGTTGACATACTGGCGAGGCAATTATTATTGTGAGTGGTTGGCGACGGGGTTCCAATGATATTTTATTTAAGAAACAATCGGGTAATAGCTCGCTTCAAGAGGATAGATAACGCCGCGCGCGATAGAGACCGCTCGGGGAAAAGTTGTAGCGCGATAGAGAACGAGCTACGCGAGAAAAGGGAATTACAGAGAAGGAGGAGGATGAGGAACAGCGGCGGCGGGAGGAGGAGGAAGGAAGGGTAGCGGAGAGAAGGGCGAGTACAGTCGGCGCGGGAGGAAAGACGGAAGGGGAGAGGGTGAAGGAAAGATGAGGGGAGGTAAAAGGTGAACTTTGAGACGGGCTGCTATCAGGGTAGCTCTCTACATTAGCGAATTACCCGCGCGCAGATCCCTCGACGGTGAACAATAAATACAGAGTAATCCGGAAATATTGTTCAAAGGATTCGGTAAATTCCACAAAAAATCGGTAAACCGCTATATATATATATATATATATATATATATATATATATATATATATAAAGAGAGAAAGAGAGAGATACGGAATAAAATAATATCGTTTTTAAAGGGACCAATTTTGATCTTTTCAATATTTTTTAAAAGGCAATATTGTTATTAAAATAATTAGCAATTATAGCAAGCACTTGCTTCAATTACACGTTGATGAACGAAATGAATGAAATTATTTTTACAGTAATTCTTACACATACCTGAAAAATTGTACCAAGTTACGACCTAACAGCATCTCCGTGATTTCAAAATCGATACGTGCATAATCGCGCTTGATGCACGTGGCGTCCTCGTCGCGGATATTGACAGATTTAACGTCAAGCTTGCTCGGGGAGGAAAGCGAATGGTAACGTCATCTAGCAGCAGGGAAATGGAAATACCTTCTATTTACATGTCGCTCTACAATGTCGAAGGCTACATTAAATCCTATATATATAATCTGTGGAAATTAAATTTTCTCGAGTAAGGAATATCCAGACCTTTGTTAGATAAAGATGGCAAACGGTAGCCACTGCATGTACTTCGTCAAACGGAAAAAACGTTTCTGTCGCATGACGGTGGGCGAGGGCAAAAATTATTGCGGCGAGCATCAGCAGAACATCGACGACTCCGATACCGATGACAGGAGGATCAATTGTCCGCTGGATCCTACGCAGTAAGTGTTTATTAATCGAGAGAGAATCATAAAAGAGATTGATGCGTTCTCTTTCGCGTAGCACGTGCTACCAGTCGAAGCTGACGAAGCATCTGGGCGTGTGCAACGCCAAGCGAAGGTTGGATGCGCAACCTGCGTTTATAGTCAAGGGTATCAACTTGGACGAAGAGACCATAGTGGCGCCACCGCATGTACCCTTGTCTCAACTCGATGAATCTGTGTTGGAAACGGTGATAAGGAAGATCCACTCTGCCTATGGTAAATTTGAAACAATGAGGATGACATGTTCAATGATGTAAAGCTTTATATTTTCTATATTATTGCTCATTATTCAGATAAGCTACCAGAATTTTCTCAAGCGATACTGCAGCACGATGTGCTGAAAGACAAATTGAAAGACGAGACCTGCGGCAATAACGTTAGGAAACACTTGCTCCAAAACGCATCTCTACTTGGACATTTGGAGCAAGCTGGTCTCGTGCAGGACGACACCTGTTTCATTGAATTTGGAGCGGGAAAAGGTCGTCTTAATCAAAGAAACTTTTTAACTTGTTCAAATTTTCGATATTTAAGAAATACTTGTATTTTATCTTTCAAATGACTTGTATAAGTAAATTACTTACATCATAGCATACTAAATGAAATTATACTTTAAACAGCTTTATTAACATACTGGCTGGGGCAGATCATAAAAGACAAGTCAAACTCTTGCATCTTACTAGTCGACCGTTCGAGTCATCGGCACAAAAGTGACAATAAACTTAAAAAGGAGGAAAGTCAGCTCGTAATAAAAAGAGTGCGCGCCGATATCGCTGATCTTCGACTAAATCAGGTGGAAATCCAGCCGATCAAATACAAAGTCGGGATCGCGAAACATCTCTGTGGCACGGCCACGGGTATATTATATATATTTCTCTACTAATACAAGTTTTCATTTCCGCGTATCTTCTGTAATCATAATAATATCGCATTTGCAGATTTGGCGATACGTTGCTTGGCGAAGTCGATAAACGATGAGCCCAAGGTCGATGTTCGCGGTTTAGTTCTCGCATTCTGCTGCCATCACAAATGCGAATATTCGTCTTACGTGGGCAGAGAATACCTGCGACAGTGCGACTTCACCGCAAATGAGTTCTCGGTTCTATGCGGCATAGTTAGTTGGGCGACATGTGGTCCCCGTTTAAAAAGCAACGTTAAACCGCAACATGACTCCACCGTCCGGCAAGAGGACCAGGACAACATCAGCTGGTTCTCAAAATTAGACGAACGCGAGCTTATCGGACGCAAGGCTAAGGCGCTCCTGAATTGGGGTCGTTTGTCATTTCTGCAAAGTATCGGATTTCAGGCCGAGCTATTTTATTACATTTCCAGACAAGTTTCGCCAGAAAATATGTGTATTGTAGCTACTAGAAAATCATGATCATTGTGACCGCAACATTCATCGTGAACGTAATTATAATCTCTCCAATTTTCATTTCTAATATAATTTTTTCTCGGCAATAAATGCATCTGTACATTTATGTATTTTTTTTCGATTCATTAATAGTACTACTGTCACCATCTATCTTTGGTGGCGGCTATTTCATCTGTCACGATCGCAACCTCGATCGATGGAATAGGCTATAAACTTACCGACCTATGACACGGGCCTCGGAGCAGTACGCAAGTCGTAAATAACTTCCCCCACTAAACGAGATGCCCCGCCCAATACGAGCGAACTAACGCTATTCAAACATTCCAATGTACAAGAGCGATGCACGAGTAGTTTAATATTTTTACTTGTGTAAAATATTGTTATATTACCAAGTGTGAAGACTAAATATTGACGATACAATAGGCGAAAGGAAAGGAGACATCGTGAGGTACGTATGAGTTTCATGCTATGCGTACATAATTTCCGTCAGCTCGACATGCGCGTGCTTTTCGTGACCTATTTCACGTTCATGTTTACCTACATACCTTTGCGATGGTTAGTCACTCGTCAATTGATCCGTAAACTTACGTATAATCTTTTCCGCATGGCACGCCAAGCCACACCTGAAAGCGCGCAAAGCCGAGTGACGGGTCTTCTTCCCTCACTGAATCGATTGCCTTCCTTTTTTTTTCAGAAAATCTTAACATTGTGACATGTCCATTCTAGACGAGCGCAAAGATTACCTGAAGAACCCGTACTTCAAGGGACACGAGTACAGTGACTTCACACCGTTCTATGTCACGATAGCTTTCTGCACTGTCCTGGGTGGAATCCTATTCATCCTGAACATCGTGTTTTGCTGGTGCTCACGGCACCGAGAATATTGGCAGAATCACCACACAGGTGAGTCATATCCTGTCTTTGAAGCTCGTTTTATATTCTACTTTTACAAGTGCATGCAATTCTGATTCGATTTTCCTTATTCTCTAATAGTATACTGTTCTATTGAAATACAGGAAATAGGTGGATTCAGCCTCTATGGACTGTATTGCCGTATAAAACGCCGCCACTTGATCTAAGTGAACTAGAACATGGTCGCATCAAGTATCCGCAAGTGAGACACGAAATCATTCAGTATCACGATACAGAATCTGAGGGAGGTACAGTACAGCCGCAGGAGTATGTAGAGTTGCAAAAACGCGAGAGTGAGATTTAAAATAGCTGAAAGCACCAACTAGCAATCAGTGTGGTATTGGAAAAGATTAGTCAGAGAAATACCCACGCTTCAGAATACGTCTAAAGCAAAGAGTTTAATTGACTCCAATAGAGTCTAATTAGCCCTTGCACTCAGTTAATTGCATTGTAAAGCCTTTGATCTGACTCATTCATTAATGCTCTTGTTAGTTTTATCACTATAGATATATTGCTCTGCTTTTATGCACATTAGGATTAATTTTTTTTATTTTTTATAAAATAATTTATCATTAAAAGAATATTGACTTCTGAGCCACTTGCAGAGCAAGCTATTTTAATAGTTGCACTCGATATTAATTGAAAACTATTGAGTAATCTCAAGCAGTATAAAAATAATCCCTCGCAATGGGCTTGCACGTTTTCTGGCCTGCCTCGGCCTGCCTGACCCTCTTTGTAGTTTGCGTCATAATCGTGCTTTTGAAATATGGCACACGTGTCTGTAAACTACGACACGAACCATTACCATCCGATCAAGAATGGGAAGGTAAAACGTACTCCAGAAGGTTGTCTGCTTCCGTGTAAACGGATAACTGTTCCGAAAAAGTTGCGCCTAAAGAGATCGTATATTTTTTAACAAAAATTACAAATTGCTAATAATATCCATAATCATCGATTAGAATTTCCACTATAGATTGATATGGATATAAATTACTTTCAAAATTTCTATAATTATCTTTTGTTTGGAACATATTTATATATATTATTATAGGCGCATTATTAGAAATCTAAGAATAATGTGACACATTCCGTCCATTTACATACTTGCACTAATGTTTTTATATATACATATACAATATGTAGAACATATGAACGTACATGTTTTCGGAAATCAGTAATTTTTTCTAAAGAATTTTTTTAATATAGATATCGATTTAATCATGTTTATCTTTCTAACAAGATATCATTGTGAGAGAAAGTTAATATTATATCCGTCCAAATCTCTCTCTTTTGATGTTATTTGATATATCTTTATTCAAAATGATAATAATATCGATAATTTCGAACTTTTGTAATTTTTATATTATATATATTAACACATTTATACAAATAAAATAATGTAGTAAAAATTTTTTAATCTCCACATTGCTTCATAAAAATTAATTGTTCCAATGCGAATTAACACACAATTTGAGAGAATGTCACTCTCTTATATATATAATATTTTACTTTTATTGACAACATTGGATTTTTGTTACATGTGTAATGGTTACACAATTATTTCAATAAGTAAGTAGATGCATTATACAATCTTTATAGTAGTTTTTAAAGAAAATTACCGACTTCTCACGTCGAGAGAGAGCTACAGTAAATCTTATTCAGAAACTGTCCTAAACTACGTCTGCATGACCGAATAAAATCAAAGTAATAAAATCACATAATTAAACAGATACTTTCAACATTTATCTCTCTCTCTTTCCCTCTAAATCATTACAAAATATTTGCACTCTGTACAACAAATCGGTGCTTTTGGAAAATGTACGGTTGAATTTAATTAATTTTCTTCTATTAATAAAATATGTAGAGAATTTTCTGCGATTATAGAAACAAACAGAAATGGCTAAAAAATTATATTGCAATTTTTATAGAAAATTTACACTAACGAGATTAAATCATCAACAAGATCGACGATTACGAAACTCAGTGGTCCGTAATAGAATGGCAATTCATTTGCTCTAATAGCTTTAATTCTAACGAATAAAATTCTGAACGATTTTCTTATTATAATATCTAGAATATCTAAGAATTGTTCTAAAAATAGGTGCACGCAGATGGTAAAAGATTATCTTGGAAAAATCTAGAAAGGGATTTTTTCTCCTGTAAGATTGTAAATAATTTAATACAGGAATTATATAGTTTAAATTGTAATAAATCGAGCCTTCTTGCAGTCTTGATATTCAGGATGCAGATATCGATATACGAAATTTAATTCGCGCAATTTTTAAAATTTAAATCGACATTGAGAGAAATCTATTTCGAAACTTCTTCAAGAACAGATGTTTGTCACTAGCGTACACCCTTTCTGAAACGTCCTGTATAATTTTATCGAAGGATCTGAAAAATTAGTCTCTAGATTTTTACTGATTCGTATCTCCTATCATGCTATGTTACAATGCGATTAAAACATGAAGAGCTTCCTGCGAGCTCCACACAGAGAAGTCAAGCATGAGACTCGTTACACCTGTTCTATATTAAGAGACAATTACATCACGCATTTACACTCTTCAAGATTGCATTTAAACTCTTTAAGATTCAAGATTAATTTCGTACAATCATACAAAATTCCACGAGAAATGAAAAGAATAAAATTGTATATATATTTCGTAAAAAATATAGCATTGATCACATATTTCTCGTAGGATTTTAGATTCTAAAAAAATGTTTTTCTACAAAATTGTTTAAATGATCTCTCGTACCGCCACAAAATTGCGCGTATATAATTAGCGCTTATTGTAAAACAGATGGAACGTTCACATTCAGAAACATTTAATGTTTTTAACCGGTATATACGAATCCACTTCTGGCCATCAAGTGTGTTTTAAAATATGAGATGACCTTCTCATCATTCACCAGATCGCAGCTTTATTCTTTTATAAATTGTAGCTCCGATTTTGAATAATTTGAGTTAGAAATGTCATTCGGTGGAATTGAATCTACCGGTTCAAGAATTAACAAGGACAGTAATTAGAGAAAGCAAGGTGTCTACTCCATGGGAAAACCTGGAATTCTCAGAGAATATTTTACTTTGAAAATCTGACAATCCTGGGTGTTTTTATTGAGATTTGAGAAATAAAAAAAAATGTTTCTTTGATAGATTTTACCTTTATATCGACTTTATATAATTAGCAATTTGTTAATCAATCAAATTAATAATCAGTATATCAATACGGTGGTATACAGTTAGTGTGCGAATCGTGAATTCGAGATACACAATTCATCATAATTCAAGAGCAAAATGCTTATAAAGATTATTTTTTTCAATACCCTCTCTATCCTAATCTAACATTTGAAACTTAAGTAGCTTGCAATTATACTTTGATAATCATATAAATAGAGAGAACATTAATATATAGCAATAAATAAATTTACTTCAAAAATTGCACTCAAAAGTTAATTTTATCTGGATTTTAGAGTAAAACTATCTGAAAAATCGAGGAAATCTCAGGAAATATTTTTTACAAGATTTGAATAGACACCTTGAAAGAGAGCCCATAAAACAGATAATTCTATCTTAGTTTATCAATAGAGTCGCTTTTCGCGTAATGATGATATGCTGTAATACGAGAGCTAAAACTAGGCGCTTGTTAACGACGCGTGCGCTATTCGACGTACGGCGTCTACAAATTTTCTTTTTAATTTTTAAGTCCTAAAGATTTCTCTCTCTCTCTCTCTTTTTTTTCTTTCTGAAATCTGACAGAAAAGCTGATCTTCAACTCCACGATACTCGTAAAAGAGAGTTAAAATCAAGCTTTCATCGCAGAGATTTACGAGAGGGAGAGACGAGGAAAAAACATGATATTTGTAAAATATTATTACAGGAAAAATATTTTCTCCTCGCGTAACACTATACTCTACGCACTTTTCTCAAAGCACGTCGCACGCAGATCGCACACGCGTGCAGTATCAAACGCGCGAACAGCTTAACTTCCTCTCACCGACGAGCCTCTGTATACACCTAGACTTAAAAACAAATACAATCTTTTGGGGAGGGAGAAGGGATTTGATTTTCGTGGTGTCGAAAAGATATCCAGCGATCTCTCTTTCTCGCACGCGCGTGCGTGCGTACTTGACGAGACAACGAGACGACGAGTTATTTTAGTTTGATTTTCATGCTCATTCGCTTGCGAGTTTCCATGTTGCCAGTTATCACTTGATATATTATTATAACGTTAACTGCGAATATTAACATCGGAAGTGACGACAGTGTCCTGTCAAGAAGGGCGCGGACGATTCCGGGAAAATTTATTAGGCTCGCGCGAACATTCTGTGATATATTTTGATATATACGTATATTTCCATTTTACTCTCGTTCAATTATCTCGACAATTATTATTTTGATGCGATTCTTTTGATCTCAGATCTATTTTGATTTTCAAATTTTTGATCCGCCGTTTTAATCATGGAAGATCCCGCACAGGATGGATTGCTATTGAGTTTCTTGCACCCACATGAATCCTTATTTAAATTTGCGAATCTTCGCGACGGCGTAATATCTCCGGAATATTTCGCGCGTGTTATATGACACAAGACACAATTACTTTGAACACCGAACATTGTATATTTATGTGACAATCGAATGAAAGCTGTTTAGTATGACAAATATTGTACATGATTTTTTAAGTGTATCAGCAGCTAAGCCAAAGAGGGGGGGGGGAGTTACTGCTGTTTTCTTGTGTGATAAACAATACTAATATTAGTAATAATAATAATCATTGCGGGAAGACGAAAGAACAACTTTGGCAGATGATCTTGTCTTCTGCGAACCTCCAAAATGGCGGCTGCTTCTAGTCAAGGAGCTCTATGGTGTGCTCTACACTCGTTAATCGAGCAATCCAGATGATGCAGATTTTGTAAGAATATACTGGAGCTAGTAAAGATTCTTATAGATCTTATAGGTTTCTCTGAATTCAAAAATTATAGGAAAATAATCGCGTCATTCAAAAAATTCTTGAATTTACGATGGTTTAAATGCATAAAAATGCATCACTATACGTATCGACGGGTAGCTATACTTATTTCATATTTCGTCATCTCGAACAGGTTATACGTATCGGTTCCCAATCGATTCCTCGGCTGATTGCGCAGCTTAATCGTCCAAGATCTTGCGTCCAATATCCATTTTTAGAAAAACCTTTATGCGATCAATAACTCTATCTACGAGGGAACTTGTTGCAAATTGTGTCAATGGGTTAAATATAAGAGTTCTTACTCGAGTGTAAAATACAATTTTTTTTTTTTCAAATAAACATAGATCTTTTCAAACTGTATCATAAAAAAACAGAAACAGCAACACAACGCGATCTTGGACAGATTGATAAACTGCGAGATAGCGCCGAGAATAGATGTGATTACCGAGACGTGCGCACCATCCCGAATTATTAACAGCAATTAACTTGTATAATTAACCAACGGCAGAGCGCACCCTAAAAGCATTTACAGCTTCACGCATCGCTGCATCCGAAATACGTGATTCCCTCGGCAGTAGTGTAATAAACGCTCTTCAATTGGCGATCGTCGTCATCCAAATTTGTGCTCTGCCTCGCAATCAATTGATAATTATCGAAAAAAGTATCAATTGATATAAGGTATCGAGAAAAAGAGAGGGTAAAAACGGTCGAAGAGATGAGAGTGCGCTTTCGTTGCCCAATTAGAGAAGATGATTAAAAGTTGGCGGATGATTACTGCTTGCCCGATTTCTTGTTCGATCGCTCACCTGGAAAAAAACCAAAAAATTGCGTTTGTCATTTTCAATTTTCTTCGCGTCATAAGTCAAGCGATTTGAAAATTGATCGGTCGAACGTATGACGAACCTTTGGTGGATTTTTTAGTATTGGTCTCCGGTTTACACCTCTTGGTAAGCCGTCGCGTCTTTTCACAAGTTGTGTCACTGTTTGCCTTCAGATTATCGTTTCTCGTCATCAGTTGATTCACGCATCCACTCCACGTGCCTTTCTCGTATCGACATGCTACAGTCAACGATCGGTGAGAAAACACCATGTGTCCCCTGTATATTTAATGCAAATAATGCACAGCATTAATCTCGCGACTCACCTTTCTTGCACTTCTTTTGAATAGTCTTGGTCTGCTCGCAGGACTTGTCGCCCTTCTTGAGGTTCAGAGTGCGCGACCGCAAATTAGTACTCGAGTCGCATTCCGACCATTGACCCTTTACGTATCTGCACGACGAGGAGCTGGCGGATGCTGCGTCAGCAGATGCGAAACGTCAATAGAAACAATTGGACGTAACGTCGATCAAGCGAGTAGAGAAAGAGAGAGGATTTTAAGGATGATGAGGACCGACTTAATTAATCCGGTTGTATATGTGTACTGCATATATGTAAAACAGTCTGTGTCGACTATGCTCGATCAACATTACAATTTTATCGAGGAAAAGAGTAACGGATTAATTGCAGAAAAAAGCACTCACTTCGCTCTTTAGTCCCGCGTACTGTCCGTACAAGAACCTCCTTGTCATCCTCCTCCCACAGATCAGCTTCCGCTCGCGCGGTCGTCAAAATCATCAACAAGGCGATGGCCACGAGAGCCAAACTCCAGTACAGCTTCATTCTGCGAGAAAAAAGATGAGAACGCTTCGTTAAACTCTATAATTAGAGTCGTTTTAATTATAACGGGGACGCACGGTTTGCAACGCTAAAGGCAAATTATTTCAACCGATAGATATTTCTCGTATAATAAATTAATGCAAGTTTTAAATTAACAATATCAAATATAATGAAATTATATATATATAATATATTATATACAAATATATCGATTTTTCTCAAGTTGGAGAAAGAGCGTGCTCTTGCGTTATCTTTTAAGCGTTTCTGCGCCTCGAGACATGTACGAAATGCGTAATTCGACTATTATCGTGAATTCGATAATTCTGCGATAGCGAAGATCGCACAGTATTCCCCTTGAGCTTGATCAACAATTCGAGCATTGTTGCCAAATTAATGATGACAGAATCGTACGATAAGGTCTTCGTAGCGAGGCACTGCTTTTTATTTTTCTTTAATTCTGAAGTCTCTCCTTTACTCTTGAAATTTCAAGTTTCAATGAAAATAAAAGGAAATATTTAATGATAACGTTATATTATTTTATACAGTAATTTTAATTGAAGGATACAACGTATAAAACGTGTAATATTTCAAATGGAGAATGTTTGTTAATAGCATGCACTTTGAATTATTGTTATCGAAATCTTCGAAATTATCGCGGACACGCAGACAAGATTAGTTAAAGGGGAACAACGGTCAGTAGGCTGAGGAAACGAAGAGATAAGAAGAAGTTAAATCTTTGTTATCTTTTTATTATCAGAGTAACAAATTCTATATAGATTCTAACAGAGTTATATTTTTATCCTTTATTCCTTTCTTGGAGCGACTTTCTTCACAGCAATAATATTCATTGCATCGTTGGGCTTAATTGAAACTTTTGCGATTGTCGTTGTAACATAAGAACTATTTGTCATCGTCGCGGGATAGATCCGGAGAAGATAATCGCAATGAATCTTAACGAGAACGGAGCGCATTGCTCTGAAAAGTTTAATAACCCGGCGCGTTAACGAACGTCACAGTTGGGATTCCGTGAATTTAATATCGACATCAACGTGACAACTTTTGTCGTCCATTCGTCGACTCTCTCTGCCATGAAACGCGACGTATCGCTTTAATAAAATGAAATGAATGAATTTATTCTCCTAATTAACGAATTTTTTCCATTACCTCTTCCGTTCTCACGATTTGCTGTAACGTTAAAAAATCTATGCCCCAATTTCAGGTCCAATTAAAATTGCATGTCAAATAAATGCCGCGCAAATCCGACGAAAGAATGGCTGTCTGCACACCAGCGCTGTCCAACGTGCTCGGAAGCTGAGGATTGATTTATCGGAGGGTGCGCGACGATAGGAACGCATAAACGATTGACTCAAGGTCTTTCCTTAGATCGATGCCGTCGCTTTGTATGCGAGGCGACTCGCCTCCGACGAATCCGAGCAATCGCCAAACTAATGCCACGAAACTAATTAATCACCGATGATAGTGCGATACGAGTATCGCGCGGGGCGAATTTGACGGCCGACACTTTCACGTTTCGGCGGTGATCAATTATTCTCTGTGTACCTGAATATAAGCCATGAATAAGCAGTAACATAATCTCGACTGCTCTACCAAATCCGAGGAGAGTATTCAAGATTCAAAGACGATTCGTGAACTCGGGAGACTCGAGTGAGTCACGCACTTCAAAGCTCAGACTCGAAAATTCGAGTCGGAAGGTCGAAACGCCAATATGATTCAAAGATTCTAGAAGATATAAAACGATGAAAATATCAAATCTGACCAGATGACAGACGCGACGGAAGAGAAAAAAAATCCATCGAATCTATTGAAATCTCTCTAGAAGTGCGATGCAACATTTCGTTCGACAGCGTACCTACATTTCACGTCCTTCCTTAGTCATTCTCTCCATTAGTCGACATTGAAACAATCAGCGCCCGTCAGTAATCTTGACGGACCACATGGGTACCAATATCGCCGGTCGGCTCTCCTCCCCTCGCAAATCTCCGCTCGCGTTCAAACAATTCGCAGGGAAAATCGTTCAATTCGCTCGCGTACGGATTGACGGAATTGACAAAATTATCGTCGCATCAGAAACGCCGGACGCGAGTGAGACGAGCGAGCGGACGTTGCCTTGTTCAAGTTTGCCGTCGAACCTATTGTCGGCTCGACAACGTCGCGATGTGGGTGAGCGAAAGAGAGAAAGAAAACGAGAAAAAGAGAAGGTAAGGAAGAAGAGACGGAGCGAGAGAGATATCGGGCGAAGCGGATAATATGTCGTCGAATATAGACCGACGGGGATATACGGTCAACTTATCTGAGAGAGCAAAGGGACGTTGCCCGATGTCCAGATATACGCTCGCGGCAACAGTCCGTATGCTCGACTTGTTTAGAGTCGAGCGTTCTTTATTTTCTCGCCTTTTCTTTATTTTCGATTGCTCCGAAAAAAAAAAAAAGAAATTTTAATTTCACCGATTTTTAACTGAATGAGAGGAAAGCAAATATCGCGAAAGTATTGGACGAAAAGTGAAAAGCAAAAAATTTCCGATAAATACAAAGCGTCAGATTCTTCTCATAGCTTTCATATTGATAAACACGAGTATTTAATTAAATGTACGCGGAAAAAAGATACGAATAACATAAAATTCTCGCGTTGAAGCTAGCAACGTACGATTGGTAACGTATCTCGTATCGTGTTGAACTAAAAGTAGTGAAGCCGAAACCAGAGAATATATATAATTTATCAATGGTGAAAAAAATAAATTCGCAGATAAAACACGAAGCCTCGTTGCGCGCGATATCAGACTAGCCGCAGCATGAATTAAATGCGAAACAAGTGCTCTCCAGAAGCGCGATTCACGTTACCCTCTATTACCGTCATTTAAGATATATGCTGAATATGTAGCTCTGCTCTCGGGAGGAAGAAAGAGAGGGAGAGAGAACGAGAGATAGAGCGATAACGAATTCTCAAACTGGCAAAATTTTCGCTTGTCTAAAATTCTGCTGACATAAAACTTTAATTTCTCCAATATACGCGCGCAAGATGTACGTTCTTTCGGATTTCAGTCTCTGAAACTTCGTTGTCCCACGAATATTCTTTCCGCGAAAGTTTAAAACTTCAGCACCTTGAAACATTGACTGTTTTTAAACTCACGTAGATATTTTTATATACTTATTTACATGAGCTATATACACGTAAAATACACGTCACAATTTATCATTGTAACAAAAGATGGCCATTGGTATTCTAAATCAAGGCTAGAACGAAAATATCACGATACAAGAGTTGTTTTTTTTTCTTTCTTTTTCGTCACATGATCATTCTGACTAAAAGGTCAGAAAATGACACCAAAGTATCTTTCGCCGCGTCTTCCGGAAACCATTTATCTATTCTACAACCATTAGCAGAGGCTCCTTTTATCTCTACGATTATAAAAAGAGCAGGATAGAATTAACTAGTCCGAAGAAGCTGTTAACGAATAGAAATAAGATCCTAGGAGATGAGAAACTAGACGTGTCGCCTAGAAACAGGTTCTATCTTTCAGCCTCAACGCGCTGCTATTGCGCTCGCGCAATGCAACGCGCGTATAAATAGCTCGAAAATGAGGGGTTAAAAGGTTACGGAGTGTCTGTGCCGAGGTCCTAAAAAACGTGTATGTCATTTTACAGACCTACGCGCTGGTCACGCAACTGTAGAAAGTAACGAGGGCAAATTAGTCATCATTTCGCTCGACGCTGGCGCATAATCGGGATGAATTGTCATCCCGTCTGAAACGCGAAGAAACTCGCCGACGAAAGTAAGATCTTTTATCTAAAAAAAAAAAGAGGAATGAGAAGAGACATGGACCTGAATTTTAAGTAAAAAAATAAAATCATCCGTCTTGATTCTCTGAGCATTGACACTTGAAAACTCGGCACGCGCGACAGCTTTCTATCAAGTTTTTCATTTGCTCTTACAATGAAATCGGTATCTCATAGAACAAGCAACTCATTACATCTTTCTTCTCATCATTCTTATCATTCATTTTCCCGCAAACTCTACTTTTTTATCTCTAATATATATTTTTCCATCTACTTTTTTCATCCATCTTTACGGTACATTTTTAATTACGTAGAACTCTTGAAGAGGCTTTTGGGGACTCGGATGACGCGCGCTTCTACTCCAGATTGAACCCTAAAGACGGCAAAGAGAATAAAGGGTAGGATAGGAGATGATAAAGAGCGAGAGCGAGAGCGCGCGGGGGACGCGAACAGAACGGAACGGAAGAGGGCATCGATCGTCGTTGCGTCGCAGACGAGCTGCTTTTAGTTGTGTGGTCCCGGAGCGGCCGCGCGCGCTGCGGGAAAGCGCTGGACCAGCGGCGAAGCGCAAAAAACTCTCCACATCGCGATCTTCGTCGGAGGAGAGAGATTCAGGGGCGGGTCTCCGCTCCGCTTCGCTCCGTTCTGCTCGCTCGCTCGTGGAAAATCGATCAGCAGCGCCGGGCGGCGGCGTCGGTGTCGGCATTCTGGTTCCCTTTCTCTCTCTCTCTCTCTCTCTCTCTCTCTCTCTTTCTCTCTCTTACCCTTTCGCCCTCGCAAGGGACTCACCTGTCACGGGGATGCCAAACAGCGGGCCAAGCTCGATCAGCTTCCAGGCGCACTTCCGGCTGGTTCCGTAGTTGCGCGACAACACGTACCCGTGGACACACTCGAGATGCTGCGTAGGGTAGGGTAGGATACGGTCCGTGATGATGATGATGATGCGACTGCGTGATCGGCGCGTCGTTAAGAAGAGAGAACGTTCCGTGTGCCTCTCCTCAGCGTTGCGATGCCGTCGACTGCTACGTGTTGCTGCCGCCACTGGCACTGTCGCCGCCGCCGCCGACCAGAGTTATCCCCCTCCCCGGGATCGGTCGTGGCATCCCTCAGGCGCCACGCATATCCTCCCCGCTCCGTCTGCCAATCTTCTTCCCCTTCTTCGCCATCGTCACCATGGTGATCATCCCTCCTAGGAAAGAGAAAGGCGAGACTGGATAAATAGAAATAGAACCAGAACCATGGAGAGAGAATTATATAGGATGTTTCAAAATTAAATTGAGCCCTTATAGAAGTATATTTGCATGTGTCTCTTGTTGAAAGTTAACTCCAACTTTTTAAATTTCAGGAATATAAGAGATATATCATGACAATTTCTCTCGATCGTAATTATAGGTGTAATTACATAGATACATACATTAAAAAAGGATACGAGAAATTAAAATCATTTTCTGGTGATGGGTGAGAAATGACAATTCATTAGTTAGGATTGCTTTCAAAAATAAACATTTATTTCAAAATTAATGCTTACCATTAATGCTGTATCCTAAAAACTAAGGTTTCTATCCTAGACACCGAGCGTGTTTAGGTGTTGTCTTAAGAAGATTCCTTAAGAATTTACTGCATTGTTGCGTACAGTTTTGTTTTTTTGTTTTTTTATTTTATTTTATATATATATATATATATATATATATATATATATATGTATATATGTATATATATATATATATAGTACCGTAATGGGTTTTAGAGCGAATCCAAACCTTAACTGATTCGCAAAATCACATGATACCTCCTTTCTCCTTCGAACTCACACTTTAAACTTTTAAGAGATCAAAACTCCAAAGAGATCTAAGAATCAATAGATACAGGAATTTAAGGATTTAAAAATCCAAGAATTTCATAATCTGACGAGGATTCTGAAATTTCCGTATGACTCAATACAAGTCTATACACAAAAATTCCAAAGTCTAAAGATTCTAAGATCCAAACTGGAAAATCCAAAAAAACCCAAAGAAAATTAAGGATTTATATCCTTAACACTTAAAAACCCGAAAATTTAACGTCTTATATTCTAAATGCAACGCATTTAATGCGGTCATATCTAATTGATTCGGCGAGCAAAATTATGTATACAAAACTGAGTTGCGCGTTATTTTTTATATCACCAAGCACAATTCGACAGTTCTGATTCTTCAGTAACTCGATAAAGAGTAAAATGATAGTACCGCTAAGTGATGATATCACATTTATGGTTCGGAGTATGCGCTATCGAGGACGCTTTCTTAAGCAGCATCTTTTGTAGATTGTACCAATTCTCCAAATGACGTTTCCAGACATTGTCGTAGCTCCGCGTAACTTACCACCAAAACACTTTGCTCATCTCGAGACATGAGACATATCTGTAATAATACATATTTTATGATTTTTTTACATATTGTACATATTTTTTTATATATTTTATGATTACTTTTTATGTATGTTCAATAAAAGATTATTAGGAATTTCTACCTTGTCTTGCGAGCCGGAATCGAGTTTGTTTAAACAGGCTACGACATGCGCTAGATCCAACCAAGGCCTGCCATCCGCTGTTACTTGATGAAATACATAATCCCTAAACAATTTGAGCATGTAGCGATCGCCTGTCTCTGCCCATGTAGGTTCCATATTAAGCTCTGGCCTTTCATTGATGGTTGCCACTTTGACCAATAACTTAAATAATCGTCCATTCTCCAATTCCTTGGCAAGTTCGTTTTCTAGAATGTCTAACTGCACTTGAGCAGTATCCAACTGTGTGTAAAATCGCGCACCAATCATCGGCATGAGATCCGTGACGCTTTTACGGGGTTGACTTGACAGCAAATATCTAAAAATTATAATTGCAATGCTATTGAGGCTTTTGGCTCCTCCAGACACATTGGATTATATTAAAAGTAAGAAATTTTTTTCTTACATTATACCTCAAATATATTAGAACTAATATATAAATTTATAAAATATGCTCAAATATATTAGAACTAATATATAAATTTATAAAATATGCTAAAGATTTTTTTTTTATTTCATAAATATAACTGGGAGCTTTTTTTTATCAAACAATGCTATTAAGACTATTGATTGAAGAATTCATAAACATACAGAATAAGATTTCGAAGATCAGTGGAATAGGAACGTGTGATCAACTCGATGGAGGCTGACATATTGTCGCGATGGACGGCGATAAGACTCCGACATGCCAGCGCTAAGACTAGCTTGCCGAGTGCTACTAAATCCTCTTGCTGATAATGCGGGATGAGAGTGAGTGGATTCGCGGCGTTTCCATCTAAAGTGACCACGTCTGGAATGGCGACGCAACTTAAACGAAGTCGCGTTTGTGATGTAAGTAGTACCTTAGTGGGATCTAAGCATCTGTACGCCAAGCCTGTGAAGCGCGTAAATAAGACTAATGTAAGCTAATGATATAAATTGAGTAAGAAATAAAGATTTTTAAAGATTCATGGATATAATAAAGTTAAACTTGATAAGATTTTATAACAGAATATCTTTAAGAAAAAAGAAAAGTGAACAAGAACAGTAAAATAATATGTATACTAACCAGCAGCATGAATAACGCGAAATGCGGCAGTGAGTTGAATGATATAGCTCCAAATAACGCTTTCTGGTAGCATACTACTATGCTGCTGCCTTAGAATAGTATTCTTGGTGTGACTATAAGGCCGTGGCGCATTGGGATCCGACGAGAACGGGTCGGTGTAACCATTAAGTTCGGTCGAGGCGAAATGCTTATTTAGTAACGTCTCCGAAGCGGGATGATAATCGTATACGAAAACCATGGCTAAAAAAAAATGAAACCTATGAGATTATGCAAGACATATATACATAGAGAGATTGCGCTTTTTAAATACGGACAATGATCGCCGAATGCTTTGGTGGTGAAGACTTCTCTTAGCTGAACTAAATTCGTGTGTATTAGCCGTTTCCACATGTCGACCAGTACTGTACACTTTGTGTTGGCAAGTCGGAAATCTATAAGCATCAAATCCAATTTCGTCAAGTGCCAAACTAACTATTGTCGGAAAGAGCGAGGGAGAGGGAGTTCTATAGAACACCAGCGAAACTTACCGTGCACACGACGTAAACAGAATCGTGTGCCAGTTTTGATATTGGTGGCCTTGTAAGTAGAAGTTTGATATCCAAGGACCGTCGAGGCGGGTTTATGCAGTGGTTCTAAGGGACATAACTCATGATAATTGTCAACTTCGTTGGGCAAGTCAGGAAATCGTACCACATCAGGCTGTGCCAATGTCAGCACATTCTTCTGCAGGATATCAAGCCGTAAACTCTCGCTGATAAAAAAGCTAGGAGCAACTTGAGGGGGTGGGGTAGAGGGAGCGGAGGAATTATTAGACGAAGGTGGTTTCGTAGGTTTCACGGGTTGCAGATGCGAAGGTGTACCTGGATAAACATAGCCAATCTGTCCTGGTGCTATGTGTCCGATCTAATATAGAAAAATGATACAAGAATTTTACAAATGTTATTCCCATCTTATTATTTAAGATAAGTAAAGAGATTTATACTTACAGCTTCAGTGCCATCTTCCGTTCCAACAGCATCGCTAGTTGCATTTCCAAAATAAAAATATGTAGTGCCACCTACGTTTTCTTGCGAATGGGTATAGGAATTGTTAAAGAGATTCGGCGAGCTGCTATTACTGCCTGTAAGGCCTCTCCCTGGCACAAATTCAGGACTGGCAGTTACCTTCTTTTGCGAATCCAGAGAAAGACTGGATAAGTGCTTGGTCACTGAATTTGTGCTCAATGTTATGCCAGGACTTGGACGATTCTATCGAAAAAAAAATTTATACAAAGAAGAATCATTCAAAGCACTCTTATATTACCGCTAATGTAAAAATAATCAATTACCATGTAGGTAGCAAGTTTGGATTCCAATGGAACTCCATTTGTTTGGGGAGTATATGGAACAAATATTGATGGATCCATCGCTTCCTCAACCACTGCATTTACTACTTTCGTTCTTACTCTCTTTCACTCTTACTCCTTGTATTGTCCTCAATTAAATTCACCACGCACTTTCTTCTCTCACTGACTTTTACTTTATACAAAGTGCTTTATCTTGAAATTTTCTTCTCTTTATCTTGCAAGTATAAATCAGAACTCCATTCTCTTGTAACATATCTTTAAAAATAAATAATAAAATTTACAAAACCATATGAACATATAAGGCAAAATAAAAAAAATATAAGTATGCCCTTTAATGTACGTTTAATAATACTATCATCAATGTAGATACAATTTCTTTTGTAAGATTTCTGTAAATTCAGTATCAGCACAGATGTATCTACTCATAATTATCTAACAAGATTGATTTCTTTCGTAAAATGAAAGATTCAGTAGCTGCAAATCTACGTATATATCACCCTAAACAATATACACCTAATATACCTCGACTAAAAATGAATTGTACATAAAGCAAACCTATGGTGATTCCTACAGTTTCTTCTCAGGGTCACAACATTACAGAAAAGGGGATCGAGAGAACAATAGTAACGGGCGAAAATAAAGAAACGCGAACGGGCACGACGACAGGTCGGATACGAGGGCTCGCATGACGAAGGAAAATAAAGAAGAGAGCGAGAGAGCGCGAAGGAGCTAGGTGTAATGGCAGCTGATTATGACAAGAGGCCGAGGGGAAGAGCGCGCGACGACGAACAATGCACTCGGTTCGACTCGGCTTCGCGAACGCACGCCCGCGGTGGCGCGGGGTCAAACGCGAGAAACAGACGCCGATACGATGCTGGCGATGGGAGACCGAACGCGCGAGTATACCTTGAATACTCGAATCGCCGACATAACCCATTCGTTGTCACCGCTCTGTCGGGTCGCGGCTGTGCTATGCGTCGCTGAATAAGCGACGCAACGGCGCGGAAATTCCGCGGCTCGTCGCCGTAGTCGGCGGTGACGGACAGACGGACAGACAGACAGACGGACGGACGGACGGACGGATGGACGGACGGACGGACGGACAGACGAGGCAAATCGCCGCTCTCTCTCTCCTCGGCGCGATTCTTACAGCGAAGATCCCGTGCGATAGATGGTGGCCGACCACAGTGTCACAGCATTGCACAGCATGTCTTCCATTCAGTGGACGAAATAAAGGTGAAAGCGCACGCACCGCTTTGCTCCGGTTTGATGCCGCCCGATGCCGCCTGATACGTACGTACCGTACCTACGTACGTGCGTGTTTACGGTGCAGGCTCTCTCTCCCCATTTTCTCCCCCTCTTCCTCGGGCTTCTTCCTCTAGCTATGTGTGCGTGTATCGTCGCCGCTATCCAGATCGCGGCCTTTTCCTCCCCCCTCGCCCCCTCCGCCTACCCTCCTTCTCGCGAAAGCGCGCGCTCCCGCCAGCCATCGCGGTCCCTTCGATCGCAGCTGTCCGTGTCCCGCGTAGCTGTGGCCTGTCTCTTCTAGCGTGGAAGAATGGCGGCTGCCTGTCGCGACGCTTTCGAGCAACGTTCGCTCGAGTCCCTTGCCTCTTTTAGTATACTCGACGAGGGAAAGATTCCCCATCGATAGAAATGGAATTTCCACTTACGGGGAGAAAAAAAGCGCGATACGCATGTGTCGCACGTATGCCGTGCATCGAATACCTCGGAGCTGTTTGTACTTTGTACGCATAGCGTGTCTTCTACGTGGGAAGGACGTTTCAAAGTCAACATGCGCGAATTTTTTTTCCCGATAACTGAAGAGAAATAATATTTTCTGAACGTAGCTATAGATATGCATATTTCGATTTCGATAAAATCTCAATACGATAGACAATCGAAATGTATTTTCGATTTTATTTATGTTAATTAATTTTAAAAAGTTGATCTTGTATAAATTACGTTCTCTCTCTTATGTTTTATAAACTATAAAGAAGACCAAATATCATTTGCCTAATATTCGCATACGAGTTTGTAAAAAATAAAAAATATTAGCAGAGAGAAACCTGAGAGCGGCCACCTCGCTTTAACGGGTATATTGTCCTAATGCGCTCCCTGACAAAGTGGACGTCAACTAAATCCATTACAGTCGATAATAATACATGGTTCGTGTCTGAGCTATGGTTCATGTCCAAGCTATGGAGTGACCCCAAAAGTGATACTCCCTCTATGGACATTCAAAACATGGCCATAAACTACAAAATCAACGTCCATGAATATTCTCAGAGGGTAATATATAATTGACCAATTTCTGGTATTGTTCCGTGCTATATGCACGAAATGCCGGTAGCACCAGTGCTATATAACAATTAAATACTTATGTGTGTAAATTGATAATAAATAAATTATTCAATCGCGACAGATACTGTAATATTTAAAAATGAAATAAATATTTTTCAAAATAAATTGGTAAATAATACGGCTCTATGTATTTATCAACATGATAATTAAGTAAAGAGCATTAAGAGCCCACAAAACGCGAATGGCAATGCGTAAATTATTTCGAACATTAATTGTTCGCGAAATTTTTTTTTTTTTTTTTTTTTAAATGCGTTATTAGGAGAACATGATTTGAAAAGAGGTCATCAACGCATTATCGACCTCCTCGCAAAATATATTCTCCTCATAATATAAAATAATAAGAAACGAATTTTCGAAAATCTTCACGCTTGCGTTATTAGCAGAACATGATTTGTAAAGAGGTCATCAACGCATCTTCGACCTCCTCGCAAAATATATTCTCCTGATAATATAAAATAATAAGAAACGAATTTTCGAAAATATTCACGCTTGCGTTATTAGGAGAACATGATTTGTAAAGAGGTCATCAACGCATCATCGACCTCCTCGCAAAACGTATTCTCCTGATAATATAAATTATAAGAAACGAATTTTCGAAAATTTTCGCGTTTGAGTTATTAGGAGAACATGATTTGTATAGAGGTCATCAACGCATCATCGACCTCCTCGCAATATATATTCTCCTGATAATATAAAGTAATAAGAAACGAATTTTCGAAAATTTTCACGCTTGCGTTATTAGGAGAACATGATTTGTATAGAGGTCATCAACGCATCATCGACCTCCTCGCAAAATATATTCTCCTGATAATATAAAATTATAAGAAACGAATTTTCGAAAATTTTCACGCTTGCGTTACTAGGAGAACATGATTTGTAAAGAGGTCATCAACGCATCATCGACCTCCTCGCAAAATATATTCTCCTGATAATATAAATTATAAGAAACGAATTTTCGAAAATTTTCACATTTGCGTTATTAGGAGAACATGATTTGAAAAGAGGTCATCAACGCATCATCGACCTCCTCGCACAATATATTCTCCTGATCATATAAATTATAAGAAACGAATTTTCGAAAATTTTCACGCTCGCGTTATTAGGAGAACATGATTTGAAAGAAGTCATCAACGCATCATCGACCTCCTCGCAAAATATATTCTCCTGATAATATAAAATATTAAGAAACGAATTTTCGAAAATTTTCACGCTCGCGTTATTAGGAGAACATGATTTGTAAAGAGGTCATCAACGCATCATCGACCTCCTCGCAAAATATATTCTCCTGATCATATAAAATAATAAGAAACGAATTTTCGAACATTTTCACGCTTGCGTTATTAGGAGAACATGATTTGTAAAGAGGTCATCAACGCATCATCGACCTCCTCGCAAAATATATTCTGCTGATAATATAAATTATAAGAAACGAATTTTCGAAAATTTTCACGTTTGCGTTATTAGGAGAACATGATTTGTAAAGAGGTCATCAACGCATCATCGACCACCTCGCAAAATATATTCTCCTGATAATATAAATTATAAGAAACGAATTTTCGAAAATTTTCACGCTTGCGTTATTAGGAGAACATGATTTGTAAAGAGGTCATCAACGCATCATCGACCTCCTCGCAAAATATATTCTCCTCATAATATAAATAATAAGAAACGAATTTTCGAAAATTTTCACGCTTGCGTTATTAGGAGAACATGATTTGTAAAGAGGTCATCAACGCATCATCGACCTCCTCGCAAAATATATTCTCCTGATAATATAAATATAAGAAACGAATTTTCGAAAATTTTCACGCTTGCGTTATTAGGAGAACATGATTTGTAAAGAGGTCATCAACGCATCATCGACCTCCTCGCAAAATATATTCTCCTGATAATATAAATTATAAGAAACGAATTTTCGAAAATTTTCGCGCTTGCGTTATTAGGAGAACATGATTTGTAAAGAGGTCATCAACGCATCATCGACCTCCTCGCAAAATATATTCTCCTGATAATATAAATAATAAGAAACGAATTTTCGAAAATTTTCACGCTTGCGTTATTAGGAGAACATGATTTGTAAAAGGTCATCAACGCATCATCGACCTCCTCGCAAAATATATTCTCCTGATAATATAAATTATAAGAAACGAATTTTCGAAAATTTTCGCGCTTGCGTTATTAGGAGAACATGATCTGTAAAGAGGTCATCAACGCATCATCGACCTCCTCGCAAAATATATTCTCCTGATAATATAAAATAATAAGAAACGAATTTTCGAAAATTTTCACGCTTGCGTTATTAGGAGAACATGATTTGTAAAGAGGTCATCAACGCATCATCGACCTCCTCGCAAAATATATTCTCCTGATAATATAAAATAATAAGAAACGAATTTTCGAAAATTTTCACGCTTGCGTTATTAGGAGAACATGATTTGTAAAGAGGTCATCAACGCATCATCGACCTCCTCGCAAAATATATTCTCCTGATAATATAAAATAATAAGAAACGAATTTTCGAAAATTTTCACGCTTGCGTTATTAGGAGAACATGATTTGTAAAGAGGTCATCAACGCATCATCGACCTCCTCGCAAATATATTCTCCTGATAATATAAATAATAAGAAACGAATTTTCGAAAATTTTCACGCTTGCGTTATTAGGAGAACATGATTTGTAAAGAGGTCATCAACGCATCATCGACCTCCTCGCAAAATATATTCTCCTGATAATATAAAATATAAGAAACGAATTTTCGAAAATTTTCACGCTTGCGTTATTAGGAGAACATGATTTGTAAAGAGGTCATCAACGCATCATCGACCTCCTCGCACAATATATTCTCCTGATAATATAAATTATAAGAAACGAATTTTCGAAAATTTTCACGCTTGCGTTATTAGGAGAACATGATTTGTAAAAAGGTCATCAACGCATCATCGACCTCCTCGCAAAATATATTCTCCTGATAATATAAATTATAAGAAACGAATTTTCGAAAATTTTCGCGCTTGCGTTATTAGGAGAACATGATTTGTAAAGAGGTCATCAACGCATCATCGACCTCCTCGCAAAATATATTCTCCTGATAATATAAAATAATAAGAAACGAATTTTCGAAAATTTTCACGCTTGCGTTATTAGGAGAACATGATTTGTAAAGAGGTCATCAACGCATCATCGACCTCCTCGCAAAATATATTCTCCTGATAATATAAATTATAAGAAACGAATTTTCGAAAATTTTCACGCTTGCGTTATTAGGAGAACATGATTGTAAAGAGGTCATCAACGCATCATCGACCTCCTCGCAAAATATATTCTCCTGATAATATAAATAATAAGAAACGAATTTTCGAAAATTTTCACGCTTGCGTTATTAGGAGAACATGATTTGTAAAGAGGTCATCAACGCATCATCGACCTCCTCGCAAAATATATTCTCCTGATAATATAAATTATAAGAAACGAATTTTCGAAAATTTTCGCGCTTGCGTTATTAGGA